GAGGAATCGAAATGTTCATTCTTAAAATGTGGGTCAGCTGAAACAGCATCTCATAGCTCTTGAGCTGTTAGCTGTTCACATTTTGACTTTGGAGATATAAGGGGACATTAAAAATTTGATTTTAACCTGTGAAGTTCAAGGAAGAATCATGTTTAAAATTAACAAACCTGCTTCATCTCCCTCCTTTCTCCTTCATTCCACTTAGTCTGGCCCCTTCCACACGGCTGAATAAAATCCTACATTTCCTACTTTGAACTGGAATATATGGCAGTGTGGACTCAGTTCAAAGCAGATATTGTGGGATATTTTTTTTGCTTTGATATTTTGGGTTATATGGCTGTGTGGAAAGCCATATAAGCCTCTCTCTACCTACTTCTTTTTATCAGCTCTGGAGGACTTGTACAGACACACAGTGTGGCAGAGACATAACATGAAGAGTGCATCCAGAGTGTGCCAAGAAGTGGTTATTGCTTAGAATGGGAAAGAAGAGCTTAAAGAACAGCAACTGAGCCAAGCAGAAGGGTAGCCAAGGAGAGGAATCAACAGCATGAATTCAAGATTTTGGAGATGTCACTGTTAGAAGAAACTTGAGTGAAAATCAATGAAAAGGAGACATGTAGGTTATAATAGGGGAGCCCCCAGTGGTGCAGTGGGTTAAACCACTGAGCTGCTGAGCTTGTTGACCAAAAGGTTGCAGGTTTGAATCTAGGAAGCGGCATGAGCTTCTGCTGTCAGCCCCAGCTTCTGCCGACCTCACAGTTCAAAAACATGCAAAAGTGAGTAGATCAATAGGTACCGCTTTGGCGGGAAGGTAACGGCGCTCCATACAGTCATGCCAGCCACATGACCTTGGAGCTGTCTATGGACAATGCTGGCTCTTTGGCTTAGAAATGGAGATAAGCACCAATCCCCAGAGTCGGGCACGACTGGACTTAATGTCAGGGGAAAACCTTTACCTTTACCCTGACTGTGGTGCAGTTGGCTGGGAGTCAGCTGCATTAAGTTCACTACTGACCAAAAGGTAATGAGTTAAAAGCCAGCCCGGGTTGGAGTGAGCTTCCGACCAATTTGGTTAGCTTGCTGTCAATCTTTGCAGCCTGAAAGACAGTTGCATCTGTCAAGTAGGAAATGTAGGTACCGCTTATGCAGGGAGGCTAATTTAACTAATGTACGAGGCCATAAAAATCTTCAGCAAGCATGCAAAGAATGAGGAAGTACTTCATCAGTGTCACAAATGGACAGTGAAGCGACACCTCCCCTGGTAGCCAGAAAAGCTGGAATGTTAAATAGCCTCTGAGTGTCTGTCTATATATGTTGTGTGTCTATAGCATTGAATGTTTGCCATGTATATGCATTGTAATCCACCCTGAGTCCCCTGCAGGGTGAGAAGGGCAGAATATAAATAGTGTTAATAAATAAATAGATTGCAATAGAGTCACTGTGAAAACAGCTATCATTGTGATCAGACACATATTTACAAGATAATGTGAATGTGTTTCATACAGCTGATGTCCAGGCAGAGATATGCAAAGTATCACAGTCTTGGACTCTGAAAATTTTGTTACTTCTGCCACTTGTTATGATGGTGAGGAAGAGTAAGTTGTGGCAGAAGAAGTAAAGCACTCCTTGGCAACATCTTGGAATGGATATATTTTCCATGTAAACACAACAGCAATTTGATTGCCGAAGAGCCCTGACACACCACTTTCATTTTATAGGAATGCCTAAAAATAGCATTTTCCTTCTTCCCTCCACTGTCAAAGGACTTATTTTCTCAATAGGAAAGGGTTATTGGATTAGTCCAGCCAAGTGACGTCAATGAAGACAATAAAGCCTCCTGTGAGCCTTTTTAATGATCTTTGAAATGTTAAAATGCTCTCTGTGTAGCTTCACTATCTGAGCAAGAGAGGGGGATTCAATTGACAATTTTAAACTCCACACACACCACACACAAGCACATTTGCTTGCAAATCTTATGGGTTCAGAAGAAAAATTCCAAACATACATGCAACTTGACATACATCTGAGACATCCTCACTCAGAAGAAAACTGCGTTTTTATGTGCACATGTTTATAACTGCAGTTTGGTTTAGCCCTGTCTTCTACAGACATAACAAGTTGTTGAAAGCCCTCATATAAAAATTTACCCTCCCTACAAAACAGCAGCCATTCATTAGCAAATAACCTAAGGGCACATTATGATACAGCTTTTCCTCTTGACTGCTCTACGAGTTTTAGGACTGGGTGACACTGGACTTATGCCTAAACAATGATCTCTACAACAGGAGACCATTGTTAAACATATATCCTTCAAGCCAAAGATGATACCTTCAATTAATTTTTAAAAGGGCAGAGATGGCAAAGGAAGTGTACAAGTCCAAGTCTCATCATTGGCTGGACTGTGTAAAGAAATTGATTGGGTGGGGAAAATACATGTTTACAGACCCAAGTGTTTGGACAATGTAAAACAAGCTAGATGTGATGTTAATTATACACATGAATCTTAATATGCACGTGGTACAAAATATAAATAGCAGCTATGGGGGAAGGTGAACAGCATCAGGAATGTGGTGGGTATAGGCAAAAAGTGTACTCTACGTATCTCAATGAAATGCCTTTCAACACCGATATTTGCATCAGTTGATTGTATTAGCAATTCAATTACTGCTCTGGTTCTGCTTCAGTAAAATCCCCATAACTGGGTAGCCCATGTCCATCGTTTCACCTGCAAGTTCCTGGGTGAAAATGATATCTCTAGGCATTTCATAGGTTCCCCAGTGAATTTCGATGGTATGCTTCCATGAGAAGTTACTACAGAGTCATGCTGGAGGAGATAGAAAATGCCTAGCAGGAATATCTCTCTAGGAATCTCTGGATCAGTGGTTCTCAACCTGTGGGTCTCCAGGTGTTTTGGCCTACAACTCCCAAAAATCCCAGCCAGTTTACCAGCTGTTAGGATTTCTGAAAGTTAAAGGCCAAAACATCTGGGGACTCACAGGTTGAGAACCACTGCTCCAGATCCTCCAGCATAAATTTATGGCAGTGGTTCCCCAATCATTAGTTCTCCTGGTGTTTTAGACTTTAGCCCCAACAATTCTTATCAGCTGGTAAAATGGCTGGGATTTCTGGGAACTTTTTTTTTCTTCTTTTGCCGGCACAGGGGTTTAATCCACTGCACTACTGGGGGCTGAAGTCCAAAACACCTGGAGGACCAACTGTGGCGACCAGAAGTCATTTATTTTAATGGTGTTTCAAATAATCTGGGGCTTCCAGTAACCACAGTCCATCCAGGAATGTATCTCATGCTAAAATGTTTTTTAAAAATACCTAGGATCGATTCATATTTATTGTAGTTTAAGACAAACCAGAGAGCTATTTTGATATGCCTCTTTAGCATATGAATTATGAACAAATGTCTTCCTTCATAGTTGATGGATACGGAGATTTAGTCAAAGCTTTCCATGATTGACATTTTGTTAGTAAGCAGATGTCAAAGAATGTTACTTAAGTCAGCAATGAATCTCTCTGCAATTATCTCAATCTCATGCTGCTATTGCTAAATCCTGTTTGATAAATCACGCCCAGTCATTTCTAGGAATCAAAAGCAGTGTAGAAATTAATTTAGCAATAATAAGCACAACAGTAATAACAAGAAGAAAGTAACTGGCATTCAAGCCATCATCCTACAGAATTTCTCAGAAATAAAATTGGAAAGTGTAAAAAATGACAAAACAAAGGAAGAACTTAGAATTCTGGTTTCATTCTTCCCAATCCCACTACACTAAGAACAATAATGAGGTCTGGAATTTCATTCTAGAACAGTGGTTCCCAACCTTTTTTGATCAGGGACCACTTTGACCAAGTGGTCCCTGACCACTCTCCAACTTTCCACCAAAAGGGTTACGAATCGGTTTTTGGTCAACTTTAGATTCCGTTTGGGGTGCTGATGGAGAAAATTGCATTGGATAGACCACATCAGCTCTGGTTTCTGATACAGAACATATGCCATGGTCAGCAACAAGGAAGGAATGGCAGACAGCACGAAAGGAGCGGAAATAAAATAAAGAGGAAGGAGGCTCACAGACCAGATTTTTGCCCTTTCAGCCCACTGGTGGTCTGCAGCCCACAGGTTAAGAACCACTATTCTACAATGAACACTCTCAAAAATGGAATTGGTTATTGAAACCACACAAATAATGGCCTTATAACCAACATAAGACCATCTTGTGCAAACAGCCTAGTGTCAGCATAGCTTATCCTTGACCATCTTGGATACCAATTTGAATTGCTCTCTGAAACATGAGAGATTTTATTAAGCATTTTTCTTACTTAAAAAACTGTAAATCCTAAATTAGTATCAGACTAATGTAGAATACTCTGCAGATCAGAAACCTGGAAAGTGCTGTTCCTTTTTCAGATAACACAGGAACAGTGGCACAGAAAAAAAATTACGAATGTACCTTGTGAGAGACCTACACTATCTCTGCCTGACAGCTGTAACAGAGAGGATCAGTAGGTGACAAAAGAAATATTCACTGCTGTACTGGAGTGGGAGTATCATTTAAAGAGCTGCTTTTTAATTTTGTAACAGTACAAAGTTTTTTTAAAAACGGAAATATTAATGTTATTGAAAAGTACACACTAATATTGTAAATATCCCATAACTATATTGTGAGCAATTCTTAGAAAGTTTCAATCTTGAATAGAGGAGTTTTAACACTTGAATAAATTCATTATACAGTATAATTCCCATACCCACGGGACCAGTACCTCAGTTTAACTTATATGCACTTAGCAAATTATGTCTTTTTAATGCATTTTCCAGGTTCTCAAGCACAACTTTTGGCTTCCACCAAAAGTCATTCATTCGACAAGACTCACCATTACCCATTATTGTAGCAAACCACTGGAAGTCTGGGAATTATTACCCTTGGAGTCATAGTTCTACAATATGCATATGTAAGTGCTAATATATTCAAATTAATCCAAATAAATTTTACCATAATGATTTCTCCACTATTTTGGTCCTGAAAACTTCTTCCTGGTCCAGGTTTACAGTACAGTAGCAATCCCTCATCTTGTTTGGCCCTGGATAAGTAGGAAGATTTTTAGCTTCTCCTAAAAATAAAAAAGAGTAGAAATTAAAATAAGAAATGATTTCAAAGTTAAACAATACATAAATAAACTGTGGAACTGTTCCTCTACAGGAGATTGCGAGAATCCTATTGGGCAGTTACAAATGTGGAGTCTAGAGTAATCCACTCCTAACTGTTTCATATTCAGGATCTCTGTATAGTACTTAATTTAGGGGTCACATTAGGACCATAAAAGTTCCCCATTCTCTACTTACTGTGCAGCAGATGCTGCAATTGATAGGAGTCTGTTCCCTTGTTGATCAAATTGGTAGAGCAATGGGAGCCTTGTATTTAGCCTGAGACAACAATGATCTTGGGCAAACATTCAAGTATCTTTGTGCCAGTTGTGTACATACTACAGTTATGGCCAACCTCAACATGTCCAATATCTCAAAATAAAGGGATCTAATTTATGTACAGTAGAGTCTCGCTTATCCAACCTTCGCTCATCCAACATTCTGTATTATCCAAAGCAGTCTGCCTCCCGCCTGGATCAAGAGCTGTTTTCATACATTGCAATGTTTTGGTGCTAAATTCGTAAATACAGTAATTACTGCATAACGTTACAGTGTATTGAACTGCTTTTTCTGTTGACTTGTAAAACATGATGTTTTGGTGCTTAAAACCCTTCTAGCAGGAGGATCCTTGGACCAAAGTTCCTCTGCCTTCTTGGGTCATTTGAAAGTCCCCCCTCCTTTTGTTGTAAAACATAATGTTTTGCTGCTTAATTTGAAAAATCATAACATAATTTGGCATTTAATAGGCTTTTCCTTAATACCTCCTTATGATCCAACATTTTCACTTATCCATTCGCCGGCCCATTCACGTTGAATAAGTGAGACTCTACTGTAATTTCTTTATGTCAACATGGTGAGGAGAAGCAAAGTGAGACCTCTAAATGATTGATGGTGGTGCCACCTCATATATTATATCATTTGCAGTTATCACTCTTTCACCAGGTAACACGAATACAGAAATAATAAAAAGTGGATAGTTACTAAAAGGACGCAACAAAGAGCACTCATGGGGGAAGTGAAGTATCAACCCATCTTGTTGGGGTCATCCTTTTCTATGTTCCCCCAAAAGGTGAATTGACTCTTCAGAAAAGCCATGTTTTCCAGGAGTTGTACTTCAACTTTTTAATGGGCTTTGTTTGCAATGGGCATTGTGAACAAAGTTTTGTGGGGTGGCGGAGGCAAGAAGAATTCGTAATAAAAAAACTAACCAATCTAAGAGACATCTCTACAGTTAGAGTGAAGAACAAGTGAAGAAATTAAAACAAAATCATATCTGATTTGAAGTGCATAATTTTTAAATTGCTATCTCACTCTTCAGTCAAAATGTTAGTTTGACCTAAGATCGCTAGAGTGAAAACTGGAGAAAGTTTCTGTAGAAAAAGGAATTAATGCTGTTTGCCAAGAAACAAGCAACACCTGCTGAAATTTCCCTTTGCTAACCTACTATGAAAAGTACAGTAGCTCTCTCCGATTTAAATTTATCCATTCGTAGACTGACATAATAATAATAATAATAATAATAATAATAATAATAATAATAATAATAGATCGCACAGATGGACTACAAGCAGAGGCACAACACAGTTGCTCAGATGATCCATTGGAGCTTGTGCCACAAATACCATCTGCCTGTGACAAAGAACTGGTGGGATCACAAGCCTGAAAAAGTTACGGAAAATGAACATGTCAAACTACTCTGGGACTTCTGAGTCTGAGTAGCACAATACTCCTGACCTCACAATCATTGCCGGGGGGGGGGGGGACACGGACGGACAAGTATGGATCGTCGATCTTGCAATCCCAGGTGACAGCAGGATTGAAGAGAAACAACTGGAAAAGCTTACATGATATGAGGATTTAAAGATAGTACTACAAAGACTCTGGCACAAGCCAGTCAGTGCGGTCACAGTGGTGATAGGCACACTGGGTTCAGTGCCTAAAGACCTTGGCCTGCACCTAAAATCAATCAGTGCTGACAAAATTACCACCCTACATTGTTTGCCGATACATCACACAGTCCTAGACTCTCGGAAAGTGTCTGACGTGTGATCAAATACAAAAGCCAGCATAGTGATCTTGTTTGCTGTGTACTTGTTGTGTATCAAATAATAATAATAACAACAATAATAACAATTTATATTCCGCCCTATTGTCAATGATCCAAACTAATTTATGATAGTTCCTGCTTAGTGATCTTGTTTGCTGTGTACTTGTTGTGTATCAAATAACAACAACAATAACAACAACAACTTTATTTCTATTCCGCCCTATTGTCAATGATCAGGACTAATTTATGATAATTCCTGCCTTTATGATGACACCCTTCACAAAGGTATGAATTTGTGCACCAAAACTCCTTTGCATATGGGAAGAATCCAAAATGCAGTTTCTTTCCACATCAGCATTAAGCCCCCCAGAAAATAGTGCCAGCCCACTGCCCAGAAAGTGTGTCACATCATGAATGCTTCCTGTATGACTCCAAATGGCTGGCACTGTTTCACTGCTGAAATTCTCACATTGTGAAGGGTGCATCAAAGGAGTCCCTTAATCTGCTTAGTACAGTAAAAGCCGAAAGCCAATTTTATCACAGCCCCCAAGTCAATTATTATTTTTAAAGTAAAATATATACAACTTTGTCTTTTGCTACTAAAACCCACAAAGGGTTTTCATTCCAGGAAAAGCTTTTCCTTCCCCTTTGAGGATTTGAGGAGGCATGAATCCCATCAGTGTTCTCATGCAGCACAGAGAGATTATTATTGGGTGATATGCTGTTTCTTGATAAGAAACCAGAGGAAAAAATTAAATCTCATTTGCACCTACATTCTAAAAAAGATGGCAAATGAAATCTAAGAACCAGTTCTAAAAGTGTAACCTCTAGGGGATTTTTCTATATTTCTTTGTCAGCATCAGTGGAGTAGTGGCATATTTTGATGTGCCGACATTCATCATAACCGCCTCTACTACAGCCACATTCACGGGGAGAATTCACAACCATAAACCATGGGTGCCTCCACAATATGTTTTTATTTAGGCAGGGCAATGTATATTACATGCAAAATAAATAAATAAATATCTGACCAGAAAACATATACAAGAAATCTAACCGTATTTTTAAAGTATTTAAAATCTAGCTGTTTATCTATCTATTTTAGAAATGAATTCTTTCTTTTCTAGTTTCCACCTTCAATTGCCCTAAAACTCCATTCACTCATCATTAAATGACAGATTATTTGGACCGGCTAATAAGCCAAAAGATTTCATTTAATATGTTTTAATAGTTTTTGTATGGATTTTATAATGTTGTTTTAATGTTTTAATTGTATATTGTGGATTGTTATGCATTGAATTGCTGCCAACTTGTAAAAGGCCTTGAGTTGCCTTCGGTCTGACAAAGGAGGGATAGAAATATCGTAAATAATAAATAAATAAATAATTTTGAAAAAAATACATATTTCCTATGCAAATTTCCTAATATTCTACATTTAAAAACCAATCAACGGCCCAATTTCCCCCAGAAGTAAACACTATTCTTTACTTAATGGTCTAAAAACTATGGGCGCCTGGCAGATATTTCACATTTCCAAGTAAATTACTTCCTGTTTATTTCCGCTGTACGATTAAAATATCAAGCCTACACCCCACTGAATACAATGTAACTTATTTTTGAGTAGATAGGTGATTGAAAGTGCAAACTAAACAACATTTCTACAAAATTTGTCCTGGATCCAAGAAGGATAGAGTACAGTGTATGTGTGTATTCAAGAAATTAATAAACAGAACTTTAAAAATGTGTGTCAAGAGCAAACCGTTTCGACTTTCACTTTCATTGTTGCCAAAGACAAAAATCTTTTTGATCAGACATAAATAAGAAGGTATATTTCACCATTAGGACTTTTTCAATTGAGAGAAATCGATGAAAATTCACATTATTTTTAAATGCACTTCTCCCAAAATGTTGTTTCTGTGTATATTTTACCCTAAAATACCTAGATTTGAATGCACCTGGAAGCACCATGCACACACCTCTGCTGGTACTGTAATACAACATATGCATATTTTATTATGCCTTTTGGTACATATTGAGCCAAGATATGGACTGCAAAATTCAGAGGATGAATGAGTATCTTTGACCCATGAATTAGCCCAAGAAGTGCAGTTCAGGCCTTTTTCTTATAAATGCGGACAGAATGGAATCCCCAGATCATCTACACATATGTTACATATATTTACTGTAAGTATGATAGAAGGCAAATTAATCTGTCAAATGGATGTAGAGGACAAAAAGCACTCAGAACAATAGCTGGGCTATTGTGTAGTCAAAACTTTCATGGCCAGAATCACTGGGTTGCTGTGAGTTTTCCGGGCATGTTCCAGAAGCATTCTCTCCTGACATTTCACCCACATCTATGGCAGGCACCCTCAGAGGTTGAGGGGTCTGTTGGAAACTAGGCAAGTGATATATAAACCTCACTTGCCAAGTTTCTAACAGACCCCTCAAACTCTGAGGATGCCTGCCATAGATATGGGCAAAATGTCAGGAGAGAAAGCTTCTGGAACATGGTCATACAGCCCGGAAAACTCACAGAAACCCAACTGGGCTATTTATCTTAGAATTTAACTGCAAGCATTAAGGTGCAAAAAATATATTAAAAGTAATACATGTATCAGCATCACTACTATTTTGCGAGAAAATAATTCACACTAAGAGAGGGTCCATCATTGGCAACAGGACACTTTTTAAAAATATGATACCAAATCCCAAAAAACCACCTGTTTCAACTTCTGGGTTTTACCCACAGCTATATTGCTTCCCTTTTTTAAAATAAAAAGTCCCTTTCTATTTCTCAAAAAAAAAAAAAATTGTATGAGTCACTTCAAAAGCATTACTGGAGACAAATGTTGTCTCACTTTCAGTGTGAACTGTTAGACTAGAATAATACTGAAATAAATAACTAACTTTCTAACA